AAGCAAGCTCGATATTGGGGTTCTGTATGAACTCAAAGAAGTTCATTTGACAGCATGTATAAACATCTGCAATATGCTCATTAAATATGAGGAAAACAATCCTTTTTTGAAGCGACTGATAACTGGTGATGAGAAGTGGATTGTTTACAACAATGTGATGTGCAAACGGCCTTGGTCCCAATGTGATGATTCGCCTCAAACAACATCGAAAGCAGACATTCATCAGAGGAAGGTTATGCTCTCAGTGTGGTGGGATTTTAAAGGTGTCGTGTTTTTCGAGCTCCTACCAAGAAACCAAACAATCAATTCAAATGTGTACTGTCAGCAATTAGACAGTTTAAATGAAATCAATCATCCAGAAACGTCCAGAGCTTCTTAATTGTAAAGGAGTTGTGTTCCATCGCGACAACCTGAGACCACATACAAGTTTGATCATCCGTCAAAAATTATTGGAGCTTGGATGGGATGTGTTGCCAACCCACCATACTTGCCTGACCTTGCACCATCAGACTTCCACTTGTTTAGCTCTCTTCAAAACTCCTTGCATGGTATAATGTGCAATTCAGATGAGGCTGTAAATCAGCACCTTGTTCAGTTTTTCTCAAATAAAGACAGGTCCTTCTACGAACGAGGAATTATGAAGCTCACTGAAAAATGGCAAAAAGTTATTGAACAAAATGGGCAATATATTATTGATTGATCTTTGTTCTTTATATAAATAAATGACCTCTGAAAAACAGACAAAATACGTCATGACTTTTCTGACAACCCAATATGTTTTCCACACACACAAAAAAATATATAAGAATGTCATTGGTTTACATTATAGTAACTTTGGCTGGCTTAATAGAAGACAGAAGAACTCTCTTCTGCTTTTGCATTCATTTTTTGTGATACATTGTTTTTGTTGAAATCTGGTCTTATGCAGATATGGTTTTAGAAAAGAAACGAGTATTCTAATGGGCTTTGTGATAATTGCAGATATTCTTCAAAACTACAAAACAATCTCAACAAGTGGTAATTCCTTTTTTTTTTAATTATTATTGGGGATTTGGGGGATGGAAACAGCGCTGGGGAATTGGGGGAAGGGGAACAGACAAGCTGCTGTCCCTCTGCTCCTCAGTCTAGTTGTGGAGGACGCTGCCCCACTGGCCCAAGTTGGCACCATCACCGCACTCCTCCCAGGTGAGGCAGACCAGTCGCAGGCCTCTGGACTGCCGCTCACTGCGGCTGCTGGCCGCCCACGCTGGCTGCCGGCCACACACAGTAGCCCATGGCAACCCACTGCCACAGGGGCTGCAGCCTCCGCCGTCGGCGACCCACGGCAGCCCAGCTCCAGGCTGAGCCGCCGTTCAGCATCTTAGCTGTGGAGGGCAGTGTCACTAGCCCTCATATGTGGGATCCAAACCGGGGCCCTCTGGCGTCCCAAGCCAGTTCTTAACCAATGTGCCACTCGGCCGGCCCGTGGTAATTTCTTAAAGATCAGTTGCTATGTGAAATTTGAAATTATATCAATGGACTTTTCATAATCTGTCACATTAAAATCTACTGGTCTACATTGCATTTTGAGTGGCTCTTCTACCCATGAATAATTTTGTAACATCACATACTGGTTACTTACAAAATGTTGGTTTACTGAGTTATCCTAAATGTATTCCACTGTCCATTCATGACAGAATGAGAGTTAAAAAGCAAACATCTTAATTTTATGAAAATAACTTTGACCTCAGGAACCCCTTGAAAAGGTCTTAGGGACCCCCAAGGACCTTCAGAGCACATTTTGAGAACTGCTGCTCTAGGTTATCCAACTTGTCATAGTAATTCCCTCTCTCTCTCTCTCTCTCTCTCTCTCTCTCTCTCTCTCTCTCTCTCTCTCTCTCCCTTCCCTCTCCTTCTCTCTCATAAATTCTTTCCAAGCAAAAGCAAAACTAATCTATATTCTCCCACTGACAAATCACTTTCACATAAACAATTGTTTCCAAAGGTGAAAGAAAGGGACAATAAAGAGCAGAAAAATAAATGAGTAAATAAAATTGTAATTGCTTTTAAAAGAAAAGCACATAGTGCTAGGAAAGAGCTAAGAGAACCGTGTGAAGTAGTTTGGGAAGAAAAGGATAGCTTCCACAAGTTAGTGTTGTTTAAACTGAGAAAAGACAGGTGAGTGGGTATTGAGTAGGAGAGAATAATGGGAATAAACATGTAGAAACACCTGGAAAGAAGCAGCTCATAACTTGTTCAAAGAATTGAAGGAAAGTCAGTGTGGCCAGAACACAGAGAGCCCAGAGGGGAGAGCTCAACAGGCACCATTTTCTGAGGCCAAGACAAGAATACAAACGAAGGCTCACATACTATATGTACAGAGGGTGCCAAAAAATGTATACACATTTTGAGAAAGGAAAAAACTGTATTAAAATTGTAATAGTCAATATACAACGATAACAAAAGATGAATACAAGCCGTGTGTATACACTTTTTTGGCACCCTGGTATTTAAAAGTTGTAAATCAAGCTATCAAACTGTTAAGTAAAATATATTCTACCTGTTCACCTTGACAAATATATGTTCCTGGAAGTTGAGATTCAAATTTTGAATTCTTGGGTTTTCAAAGTTCCATATCAGAACATGGCAATGGATGGAGAGCTAGCCCCAGCCCCTGCACTATCATTCTCACCTCTGTCTCCATGCCCAAGGCCAGCCTCAGTTGACACCCCTTGACAGTCTCCCTTGGGCCAGGGTAGGGGTAAACATGGACAGCATGGTCTCCCCTCAAGGGCATGAGTTCAAGGAAGAGGCTATGTAGGCTAGGGACCATTTGGCAGAAAATCCTGTGATCCCTGGTACATGGAATATGATTTATTGATAAAAGTGGATGAGTATCCCAGGTGGCCATGACACTTTCATCTTGCAGACTCCATGACCAGTGGGGAGGGGCACAGACAAAAAGAGCTGGAGAGAGAAATCTTTGCTACTCCAAGCCTTATTTGCAGATCAATAATATTGGCAGATCTGGGAGCTTCTTAGAAATATAGGACCTCAAGCCCCACTCCAGACCTATTGAATCAGAATCCGTATTTTAGCAAGTTCCCTAGTTGATCTGTATACCTAGTCAAGTTTGAGAGATGCAAAACTTAATGAAAGGATTCAAGACAAAGGCTGTTTTTGCCCAGGTCTATGGGCAGCAGCGCTGCCTGTTCCTGGAAGGCTCCCTTGGCCAGGGTCAGGGAGGATGTAGATTTGCCCCACCTGCACTGGGGAGTCATGGAAGGGCTCTGAGCAGTACAGTTACATGGTCTGAATCACTTTTTAAAATAACAGCAGACCCCACCCCTTGAGCATTACGTTGCAATAAGCATTGTGACTTACAGTTATGCTCTCAGTGAATACTCACTATAGCCTTTGAGTTAGAGGTTATAATTATTTTTTCAACTGAGATAACAGTCTTAGGGAGGTGAAGTCACTTTTCTTTTTTTTAATTCACAGAGGTGTGAGTGAACTGGGATTCAAACCCAGTGGCCTTGAATACATTGCATCCCAAGAAATGAATGAGCTCATCACTCTCCACCCCCCTACTCCATTCCACAGACCTACCTATGCAGCCCTCAGGTGCCCAGATGAACAGAGGAGCTTCTGGGACTCCCCAGACCCACTCTTTTATCTACATGAGTGATCACAGCATTGACATGATAAAAGGCAACGTTGATCACAGTGAGTACAACAACCCTCTGCCTTCCCTTCAGTTTCAGCCCAGTCTCATAGAGGCCCACAGACCTCCTTGAAGGAGGGACAGTTTCAACAGTCAAATGAATCCCAAGTGCCTCTGGGGCAGGCTGAATCCCATTTTCAAAGATAAGTTAACTGACAACAGAAGACTGGATGGATTAAATGCCTGAGTCCTCTAAGTAGCAGATGTCAAGACAGGATTTAACCTGTAAGAATTTTATTAGGGGAAATGCCTGTGGAGAAAATGGGGAAGGAGTCAGGGGAGGTTGGGAGAGCTATTAGACCACAACACAAATTTAACCCCTAGTAAAGGAGAAGAGAGGTTGGGTAAGCATCTTAGACCACCCACCATGCAGTCTAATTTGGGCAATTCTTTTGGTAAAATCTGAATAAGCTTTATGGATTGTACCAATGTCATTTTTCTGGTTTTGATAGATAATATAGTTACGCAAGATGTCATCATTGGGAGAGGCTGGATGAAGGGTGCAAGGACATCCCTGTACATTTTATTTTCAACTTCTGTGAATCTAATTATTTCAAAATTAAAAATTAAAAAACATGAGAAAATGTGATAACTTTTGCTTTAAGTATTCATATATATTTCAAATAACTTAAGAAGAGAAAATTAATCTATTACATTTAACCAAATATTTGTCGTTTTTGTGGCTCTGCATTCCAGAAGTTTCAGTTTTCCCCTTGTATCATTTCTCTTCAGCCAGAAGAACTGCCTTTGACATTTTTATAGACTAGGACTACTGGTCAAAGATTCCCATACTTTCCCTTAGTTTGAGAATGTCATCATTTCATCTTTATTCTTGAAGAATATTTTCCCTGGATATAGAATTCTGATGATAGTTTTTTACTTTCAGCACTTTAAAGATTTTTTTCCACCATCTATCTTTCTTGGTTTCTGATGAAAAATCTTTAGTCATTTGATCTAGTCTGTCTAATTTATCCATCTTTTTGTATATAGTCTATTTGAATAATCTCACTGAAGAAAATATCCCTGTAATCTGAGTCACAAAGATATTGATATACAATTTCTTTTAATAGTTCCAAAGTTTCATTTTTGACTAATACATTTAGATTATTTTTCCATGGTTTAAAATGCAAATCATTTCCCAGGTGAAGTGGAGGTTCTGGGGGTTAAACTCGTTTGTCTGGGATTGTTACAGCAATCCCAGACCCCTTGAAAACATTGCTTTTCATCCAGTGAATGAATGACTTAATCAGTGCCCTTTCCTCATATTGGCTTTTCATCCCATATGTCAGCATCCGTGATGAAGAGAATAGCCCCAGGGAATCCTCAGCCAGATCCTTTTATCCACATGGATAATTCCAGCATGAACTTGAAACCACAGAGTCTAGCTGGTCGCAGTGAGTACAACTATCCTTAGTCCTCCCTGCTCCACTGTTGCCCTCATCACATGGGATTCTATAATTGTATTTTGCATATATTTTAAAACTGTTATTTATTGTTATATCTTTACAAAAATCAATTCAAAAAATGTTTCCATCAGAATAGGGAAAATTATAAATTTCATATCAAGGTCAAGTGACTTTGGCCCACACTTGATCAAATTATGATAGATAAACTGAGAATACAAGATACAGAGCAAGTGAGAATGCTTTTCTAGGAGAGAAGGACTGAAATATAGATAGAAATACAGAAAGCCCCTTATCCAAGGCAGAATATGATTCTGACACCAATCCAATGTGTGGGTTTTTCTCCTACACCAAGCAATTCTCTTGACACCAGCTGGATGTCCTACAATTCAACCCAATTTTTATACTATATATCCAGAGATAATGTCAGATCCCACAGGTTAAGTGCTCAGTCCCATAGGACTGCCCCCACTTCAGATGCCAATAACAAGTCCAGGTTATTACCTGTGCTTCTGACCAACTGGCTATAAATATATTTATATTATATTATATTATATATAATCTACAATATATTATATAATATATACAATATAATATATATTTATTATATATTACATATACTATATAATAAAAGAATGTATGGTAAATCACACAGGAATATTGTAGTGCAAAATTAAGTGTAAATGGAAAAAAAACCTCATTATATAGAATAGTATATAAATGTATACAGAGATTTATTTTCATAAGTTGTATCTTATTGAATTCTGAAATATGTATTTATTTAATAATGTGTCCTGGAAGTTTTTTTGTTTGTTCATAACGCCTACCTTTTTAAAAAAAAATTACTACAGAAACCAGTTTTGTTTCTATATACAATGAACAATATGAAAAGGAAATTGAAAAAACAATCTCATTTACAATAGCATCAAAAAATAAAATACTAAGGAATAAACTTAACCAAGAAGATAAAAAATTTGTACACTGAAAACTACAAAATATTGCAGAAGGAAATTAAAAGAGTACACAAATACATGGAAAGACATCCTGTGTACATGGATTGGGACACAGCATCATTAAAAGCCAATGATATCCAAAGCAATCTACAGATTTAATGCAATCCCTATAAAAATACCAAAGGTGCTTTTTGCAGATATATAAAAACCCATTCTAAAATTCATATGGAATCTCACGAGACCCCAAATAGCCAAAATACCTTGAAAAAAAAACAAAGTTAAAGGTCTCACACTCCATAATTTTGAAACAAACCACAGTAATCAAAACAGTGTGGTACTGGCATAAAAACAGACATATACCACTGGGAAAAAAATAAAGAGTCCAGAAATACACCCTCACGAGTATATAGTCAAATGATTTTTGACAAGGATGCCAACACCATTCAATGGGGAAAGTACAGTCTCTTCAACAATTAGTGTCGGGCAAACTAGATAGCCACACACAAAAGAATAAATTCGGACCCTTATATAAAAAAAATTAACTCAAAATGGATCAAAGAACTAAATGTAAGAGCTACAACTATAAGAAACATAGGGGAAAAACTTCATGACATTGGGTCTCCAATGATTTTTTTTCAGATATAATATCACAGGCATAGGCAACAAAAAAACAGATAAATTGGACTCATTAAAATAAAAAAAACCAAAGCGCACAATCAACACAGTAAAATTGCAACCTAAAGTGGGAGAAAATAATTGCAAATCATATATCTGGGAAGGGATAAATAATTATTGGCAAGAATGTGGAGAAATTGAAACCTTTGGGCACCACTGGTAGGAATGTAAAATGGTACAGCCACTATAGAGAACACTATGGTGGTACCTCAAAAATTAAAAATAGAATTACCTTATGATCCAGAAATTCCACTTTTTGGTGTATACCCAAAAGAATTGAAATCAGGGTCACAAAGAGATATTTGTACACCCATATTCATAGCAGCATTATTCACAGCAGCCAAAAGCTGGAAGCAATCCAAGTGTCCATCAGCAGATGAATGGATAAACAGAATACAGTATATACACCTGACAATTAAATTTGAAAAATTGCCACCATGCACTTACATTGGCAACACCATACAAACAGCTCAGTAAGATTTCATAACCTTGGTATACCAGTGTCTCACAGCTGTGTTCATGTCGACATGTGGCAATATCTTGTGGAGTGGCGTTCAATATTGTTGAGTGTTTTTGTGTGCTGTAGCGAGAATGTCTGAGCGTGAATGAGAGCAACAAACAACCATTAAATTTCTTGTTAAACTTGCAAGAGTGAAAGCAAAATCAGAGACATATTAGTCCGTGTTTATGGGGCTAATGCCATGAAGAAAATGGCAGTGTACAAATGGATTAAACGTTTTTCTGAGGGGAGAGAACACGTCACTGATGAAGAGAGGTCAGAGTGGCCAGTAACAAGCAGAACTGACAAAAACATTGCAAAATTTCATCGAATTGTGTGCCAAAATCATCGGCTGACTGTGAGAAGCATAGCAGATCAAATAAACATCAATAGAAAAACAGGAAAATCTTAACTGAAAATCTTGGCATGAGAAAGGCATGTGCAAAAATGGTCCTGAAGGAGCTCACCAATGAACAAAAGTAAAAAAGAGTGGCAGTTTGCCAAGAACTTTTGGAGAGGCAAGACGATATTTTGGGCCATGTTATCACTGGTGATGAAACATGAGTGTAACAATACGACCCTGAAACAAAGCTTCAAAGTGCATAATGGAAGTCAGTCAATTCTCCATGACCAAAAAAGTTCCATCAGTCCAAATCAGGAGTCAAAACGATGCTGCTAACCTTTTTGATATCAGAAGGATTATTCATTATGAATTTGTACTAACTGGACAAACAGTTAACCAAGTTTACTATTTGAAAGCACTGAAAAGGCTGCGTGAAAAAGTTAGATGACCTGAACTTTTTGCCAACGATTCATGGCTCATGCATCATGACAATGCATCAGCTCACACAACACTGTCTGTGAGGGAGGTTTTAGCCAGTAAACAAATAACCGTATTGGAACACCCTCCCTACTCACTTGATCTGGTTCTCAATGACTTCTTTCTTTACCCCAACATAAAGAAAATATTAAAAGGAAGACATTTTGATGACATTCAGGACATCAAGGGTAATACAACGACAGCTCTGATTGTCATTACAGAAAAAGAGTTTCAAAATTGCTTTGAAGGGTGGATTTGCACTGGCTTCAGTGCATGGCTTCCCAAACAAAGTACTTTGAAGGTGACTAGTGATATTCAGCAATAACAAATATGACATTTTTTCTAGGATGAGTTAGCGAACTTAATTCTCTCTCTCTCTCTCTCTCTCTCTCTCTCTCTCTCTCTCTCTCTCCCCACCCCGAAATGGAATATTATTCAGCCTTTAAAAGGAAGGAAATGACACATGCTACAACATAGATGAACCTTGAGGACACGCTCTATAAAAATAAGCCAGTGACAAAAATACAAATACTGTATGATTCCACTTTTATGAGGTACCTAGAAGAGTCAAATTCATAGAGGCAGAAAGTAACATGGTGGTTGCCAAGGGCTGAGGGAAGGGAGGAATGGGGAGTTATTAATAGGTGCAGTTTTGCAAGATAAAAAGAGCCTGGAGATTGGTGGGACCACAACATGAATGAACTTAACACTACTGCACACTGAAAAATGATTATGACAGTAAATTTTATGTTATATATATTTTACCACAATTTAAAAAATATATATGACTGTATAATATTATAAGCTATAAACGTGCAAAAGGTTATTTCCCCATCTCCTATTGATGAACTTCCTTGTGGTAAATATTCTGGGCTAAATAGTATGAAGTATATTAAAAATGAGATCTATTATTAAATTCTTTTCAAATCTTGCACCATTTTACATCTCCACTAATAAAAAATAATGGTATGCCTTCCCCCATATTATCAAGAATGTTTAATTTATAATTAAAATATTTCATGTCTTTTGGGAGAAAAACTAACTCATCATTGAGTTAATTTACATGTTATGAATCACAAGTGAAGTTGAGCACTTTTCACCACTTTAAAAATCATTTTTACTTTCCCTTCTAGCCATTATTTATTCATACCCTTGATACAATTTTACGATGGAGTTTGTTTTTTCTGATTGTTTTTTGTACAAATTCTTTATAAAATAAGGATATGAATCCTGTCTTTCATATATATTACAATAGTTTCTGTATTCTGATGCAATTTATTTTATCCATTTAAGGCTTTTCAAAATATGATTTTAGTATAAACAAAAATAATAAGCTACTGAATCTATTTGTAATTGTTTTTGAATTTTGTGAATTAGAGTGTAATTTAATTTCTTGTACACTAATGGCCACTTGTTCTATTCCTACAGACTGGAAATGCCATCTTTCCATCTATGCTAGTGTTTTTTTCTATATTTTATTCTGTTGTAGTGTTAAATTAGCCATTGGCAACAATACTGCAGTGTTGCATATGTTACCTAGTTAGAGTATGTTTTGTTAGATAGCAGTCTAGCTCATTTTGTTTCATTTAGACAAAAGAGAAAATTTCTCAGATATATTCAGATAATTTCTCTTCCCAATTTCAGAGTCAGTTTGTCAAGCTCCATTAAAAAAATTCTGTTGAAATGTTGATTAGGATTAAATTGAAGTTATAGTTATTTGAAGGGAGAAATTGACATTTTTCTAATAATTAGGCATCTATTTCAAAAACATGCTTTTGTTTATTCATATCATTTATGCACTTTAGCACAGTTTTATAGTTTATTCCATAGTTTACACATTTCATTTAGATGTGTTACTAGGTATTCTATATATTTTGAAGTTATTGTGCACAGGATCTTTTAAAATATAATGTTGACATTTTATATTTGATTTAAAGTAATGTATAGTTGCATTTTTATAATATTTTTAAATAATTTTTATTTTTCAAGTACAGTTGATGTTTGATATTATTAATTTCAGGTGAACAATATAGCGATTAGATATTTATGTAACTTACAAAGTGGTCACCCTGATAAATCTAGTACCCATCTGACATCATATGTAATTATTACAATATTATTGACTATATTTCCTATGCTGTACTTTATATCCCCATGACTTTTTAATAACTGGCACTTTGCACATCTTAATCTTTTTCCCTTTTAAATCTATCCCTCCAAACCCCCTCCCATCTGGCAATGATCAAAATTCTCTGTATCTATGAGTTTCTATCTATTTTGTTTGTTCATTTATTTTGTTTTTTAGATTCCACATATGAGTGAAATCATACAGTACTTTCTTTCGCAGTCTGACTTATTTCACTTAGCATAGTACTTTCTAGGCCCATGCATGTTGTCAAAATGACAAGATTTCATTCTTTTTATGGCTAAGTAATATTTCATTATATATATGTACCACCTCTTCTTTATGCATTAATCTATAAACGAATACTTAGGTTGTTTCCATGCCTTGGCTATTGTAAATAATGCTGCAATGAACATAGGGATGCACATGTCTTTTCAAATTAGTGTTTTGTGAATCTTCAGGTAAATACCCAAAAGTGGAATTGCTGAGTCCTTCTTTGTCTCTTGTTATAGCCTTTGCTTTAAAGTCTACTTTGTTTGTTATATGTATTGCTACTTCAGTTTTTTTTCATTTCCATTTGCATGAAATATCTTTTCTCATCCCTTTACTTTCAAACTGTGTGTGCCCTTTGACCTGAAGTGCATCTCTTGTAGGCAACACAAGTAAAGGTCTTGTTTTCTTACACAGTCAACCACCCTGTCTTTTGATTAGAGCATTTAATCTATTTTCATTTAAAGTAGTTGTTGATACACATGTAGTTATTGCCATTTTATTAGTCACATTTTTTTATCTTTTTCTTAAAGAAGCCCCACTAACATTTCTTGTAAAACTGGTTTGGTGGGGATACACTTCTTTAGCTTCTTGTCTGGGAAGCTATTTATCTGTCCTTTGATTCCAAATGTTAGCCTTTCTTGGTTGTAGGTTTTTGCTTTTCATGACTTTAAATATTTCATGCCAATCCCTTCTGGCCTGCCAAGCTTCTGTTGAGAAACTAACTGCTTTTTTCTTGCTGCTTTTAAGATTCTCTTTGTCTTTAACTGTTGGCATTTTAATTACGATGTGTTTTGGTGTGGGCCTCTTTGGGTTCACCTTGTTTGGTACTTTCTGCACTTCCTGGACTTGTATGTCTATTGTATAGGGAAGTTTTCAATCATTATTTCTTTAAAAGGTTTTCAATTCCTTGCTCTCTCTTCTTTTTCTGGTAACCCTATAATGCAAATGTCATGCTTAATGTTGTCCCAGAGGCCCCTTAAACTATCCTTATTTTTTTAATTATTTTTTCCTTTTTGCTGTTATGATTTGGTGTTTTCTGCTACCTTGTCTTCCAAACTGCTTATTTAGCCAGTCCCCTGGTTCATCTAACCTACTGTTGATTCTCTCTAATGTATTCTTCACTTCAGTTATTGTATTCTTCATTTCTGACTGGTTCTTTTTTATATTTTCTATCTCCATTTTTGTTTCTTTTATGTTAATGTTCTCACTGAATTCATCTACTCTTCCCCTAATTTCATTGAGCATCCTTATAACCAGTGTTTTAAACTCTGCATCTGGTAGATTGCTTGTCTCCATTTTGTTTAGGTCTTTTTCTGGAGTTTTGTTCTGTTTTTTCATTTGGGACATGTTTCCATGACTCCTCATTTTGGTGCCTCCCTGTGTTTGTTTCTATGTATTAGGTAGAGCTGCTATGTCTCTCTGTCTTGGTAGAGTGGCCATATGCAGTAGGTGTCCTGTGGAGCCCAGTGGTGCAATCTCCCTGGTCACTTGAGCAATGCTCTAGGTGTGTCTCTTATGTGGGTTGTATGTGCCTTCCTCTTGTAGTTGAGCCTTGATTGCTGTTGGCATGGGAATGAGAGTGATTGACCCTCAGGCTAATCAGTTGTGAGAACTGACTGTGACTATAGTGGAGGAGCTGTTGTGCAGGGGTGCAGCCCCACACCAGGTTCCCCAGCCCAGGATTTCAGTGCTGGAGAGAGAAGTCCCTATAACTTCTGGCTGTGAAAACCAAGGGTGATTGTGACTGGGTGAGACAGAGGGCTTTTTAAGAGGAATGCTTGGTGTGATCAAACAATATGGTAAATATTTAAATAAAAAAACTGATAACAGTAAAAGACACATTGCCATTAATCCCCCTCAAAATACGCCCCCTTGCTTTGAACACACTTATCCCGTCATTCTTGCCACTTTCTGAAGCAGTTCTGGAAGTCCTTTTTCATGACTATCTTTAGTTGCGCTGTTATGGCTACCTCCATGTCCTGAATCATTTTGATTTGGGGGAAAAGCCAGAAGTTTGCACGGTGCTGGATCTGGTGAATAAGGTGGATGAGAACACATTGTAATGTTTTTATTTGACAGAAATTGCTGTATACAAAAAGCGATGTGTGACACGGAGTGCTGTCATGATGGAGGATGATTTATGGCACACTTTAAAACACACCTTCTCTCAACTGTAATTCACACCTGACTGACCATACCTAACAAGCTGAAAGTTGTCACACACTGTTACTAAGGTTTGATGTGCTGCCTCCCATATTGAAGATCCCTGCCTTTCCATTGGATGGCACTCGGCAGCAGCATTCAGTGTATTTTGTGATCACAACAGAAAGGTTCCATGTCA